ATATATACATATATATGTATATATATATATATATATATATATATATATATGTTTGGCAATGAGAAACCCCTTTGAGCGATCATTAAATTCGGATTGAAATGATGAAACATATAAATGCCTGTTGAACATAGAAATGAATGGGTCTTCGTTGTGTTTCGAGGAAGAAACAGATTTTCTAACATAACCTCTGACTCTTATAAAGACAATTAAAACTTAAACTTGATTGATTAATAACTAAAGTAGCTACTAATTTAAGAAAGTAACAAGGAAAAAAAGCAAACAAATATAATCTAATTCTAAAAAAAAAAAAAAAAAAAAATTAAGTGAAATTATAATATGGGTGGAGAAAAAATTAAATTTGTTTTTTTTTGTATAAAGTGAATACATTAAATTATTTTAAAAAATAATAAATTTAATTTAATACAAATAATAAATTTCTTCATATTTAATTATTCATAGTATTAAAAAAATATATGTTTTTAGCTTTCTTCATTTTTAAAGGTATAAAACAAAATTAGAAAAGAAAAAAAAATTTCATCAGAGAAAAAAATCTATAAACACAACTATGTATATAAGAGAAGAAAATAATAAGCAACTACGGAGAATAAACAAGAAAATCAATAAATTTATGTGTACGACAAACTATACAATAAATTTGCAAATATACAACATTTTTCAAATGAAATCATTTGATGGAAAGAAAACAACATCTAAACTATCTCTAAAAAAATATCTACAAACGTTTACACTCACCATAATAGTCAGTGGCATGAGCTAAAAAAAAAGGAAAAAAAAAAAAAAAAGACAAAACAAAAAAAAAGTTATTAACATTATTTTCATTTTTATAAGAAGCAAATTACTCTAATATATATCTCTAATGTATATCGAATATGCTTTAACATATATTTTCGTGTATATTATGGTTTGATAAAAATTCAAAAATAATGCAAAATTGCTTCTTTTGTTTTTTTTTTTTTTCGTTTATATACATTTATATTTATATTTTATAAGGATAACTACAGGAACGTGCCTATACTCCTCTTCATCACGTCGAAGACCCCTATAAACTATGCCGCCATATATTAGCTATAACAAGATATTTGATTGGCGCGTAAGTAAAAAATCAGTTCTGCCGCATTTTATGGCATCTAGCAAATATTGGCAGTTTTTTTTCTATTTATAATAGCCAGAAATAAATATAATAAATTCTCAATATATTGAGAATGTATATATATATTTATTATTCTTCTATTCATATCGTATACGCTTGGAGGTGTGATAGATAGCAAAGATGTTCATAAAATTGAAAAGGCTGTAATTTAAACGAATATAGAAAAAGTAGGTATCTATGTGTGTAACTAGAGAAATTGAAATGATAAACATAATCTCTAGGTGCGAAGAGCCTCATGTACTTGAAGAGAACGATAAATTCTCGAAATCATGTCTCTTCTTGAACACTTAAGTATCCTCTCAAGCGCTTTTTTTTTTTATTCTCGACAAAAGATATTCGTATTAAAAATATGGCCAACAGAAAAGCATATACATTTACCGGATTCTTTAGGTTCACGATAATGTTAAGTAAAGCACGTTAAGTCTTATCTGTTTTAAGCCGGTCTAAGAAAATGCATTCATCATTGGTAAAGAGATAATTGTAGTCTGAATTGTTAACGAAAGGATTAATTGATCGCAGAAATTCCTCGGAATGATTCGTTTAATTGAACTCGATAGCGATTCTAATCGCTGAATATGGCGAAACGATCCGAACAGAAAAACAGAACCGAATATTTCTTATTAGGTGTTTTTCGTTATTGATCATACGGTTAAGTTTGAAAATCATAAGAGCAGATGGAAAATGAGGTAACGTTGCTTAAAACAAAAAAAAATTCTTCGGATCGGCGTAAATTGCAATTGAACTATTAACAAGTTTTTAGACGTTTTTCTCGCCGTGACTTTTTCAATATATCAATCATATAGAATAAATTAAAATTAATGCATCATGCACTCATGATAAATATCGAAAGATAACGATATTACACATACATAGTCTGTATCAGATATAATTGTTCCAAATGTCGGTGATGTAATTCTTTTTTATTTCTTTAGCGTTCCAGACGAACCCAGTTTATTATTTCATAACGAATTGAATGGTAGAATAAATATCGACTATCGTTCTCACATAACATCACAAATCATTGAAAATCTTTGGCACAAAAAGACATTTGAGCTTGGCTTGGAGATCCTGCCAAGAAATTTTTCTTTTTATCTACCAAACTAAAAAGTCGATTAGGAAATTTAGTAAATCTAGTAAATCTTAAATTATCTCGAAAATATGCGAAAAATCCTTCTTTTTTTTTTTTTTTTTTTTTTTAAGATCGCATCAATTTTTACGTTTTGCAACTAATTACATTGATCAAGTAAATATATATGCGCAATACAGTCTCACATGATTATTTTCGGAAGTAACAAAGGAAAGAATTTGAAATTTCATGTATTTGCAATCAGTTCGACACTTGTAGAACTTGTATGATCATGAAGAATTCAAAATCATATAACCGAACTTGGCTAACTTCATTCAGAATCTTAGGGAAATTATGGGATTTCTGATGCGTATTTCTGGTTATTGCATAATTCTACAAAATATATATGGTCTTACTCTCCGGTCTTAAGTTTAAATACAATTTTGCATTACTTTTTTTCAATAGCAAATAGCGTTCAAACTAGAGTTTCTTTTTTTAATAGAGTAACACGTATAGCAGAAAGAAAAATTAAAAGTACAATGAAAGAGATATTTTTTATTATTTTTTTTTTAGAACATAAACTAAACTTATAACTTTAATAGATTATAGGTAAGAAAAAAAAAAAAAAAAAAAATGTAGACAAAAGTGCTTAAGCATTACACATATATATACATACATATATATATATATATATATATAATAACGAAACATTCAACATTAAAGAATACCAATACCTTTACGTGGTCTCCACCAATCCTCCATATATCCTGACAAAGGTGAGGAGTGGCAAGAAAGAACTGTATTTGTTATTTTATTTCACTACGATTTTCATATTAAATTAAACTATATTTTCACTTTTCATTACTTGAACTAATAAATTCAAAATTTCTGACATACAAAATAAAAATATTAGAAATTTTGTTAAGCCGAGTTTCATAAAAATTGCTTTGCAAGGAAGAATGTGAACGGCAAACAAAGTTACGGAAGATTTCTTTTGATTCTCGTAAATATAAGATAAAACTTTAAATAGCATGCAAAAAAAAAAAAAAAAAAAAACAAATAAATAAAATACAAATATATTTCGATCGGACAGTCAAATTTTTAACATTTAAGATTAACAATTTATATAGTGAATCGCAAGAAAAGAAAACAGGTGCCTTCTTCATCATAAGTATTCTTCGAAAAAGTTCATAAATAATTATTAATCAGTTAGCTGCCATTGACGAATATACAGAAATGGTATTATTTTATAACCACGTAAAAAATGGCAACCATTCTCTAATTAAATTGCAATTTTAATGAAAAAATGAAATATAATTCGTTAATCGCAACATGTTTGGAATATGTGGAGGCCAAGACAAAGTGAAAGGAACAAATTAAAACACATAAAAAATTATTACGAAAAATACGTATATATCGTAAGTATTGGTTCTTTTTCTGTAAATCAATTATTTTCAGTCTTTACTAATATAACTACCTGGCATGTCATGGTGATAAAAATTATAATCCTGCTTAACTCTCATTATACATACATCTCATGAAGCGATAAAACTTCACCTTTAAAATATTTTCTTAGCTTATTGTATAAAAAAAAAAAAAAAAACAATGGAAAAGGAGCATAACCTGTGTTTGGCGAGTATACTCGTCCTCACTTAATTTTTGCGACACAATTTAAGTCCACATATTTTGAGAGGGGCGACGACAGCTAACTGATTAAACAGTGCAATGGACGCGAAAATAGAAAAAAAAGGGGAAAAATTTAATTTCGTGTTAAATTGAAAACGAATCTTTTAATTTTATGGCTTATGTTTTTTTATTTATTTATTTTCTTGTTTATTTTTTATTATATATTAATGTAATAAGGCTCATTAATAGCACTGGACCATCTAATAAGTGTAAAACGTTATGCAAGCGGTAGCACTTTTTTCTCTCAAGTATATCGCTATTTTTAGCTATTTCTATGTACATAAAAATACGCTTTTCGCGAATCCCCACCGACATATAGTGATAACATAAGTATTCAAATCATAATTGAAAATTTTTGTTTCTTTTCTTATCATAACGATAGAATTTAAGAAAAGTTTTTTTCATTGTTCCAGACATGGATTTTGGGAATAAAATAAGGGACATCGGGTTCTCAGAGTAACCAAAAATCGTGCTAGAGTGCACTAAGCTTAAAATAAATTTAATGAACTTTTTCTAGAATAGTGTCACAAGAAGTTGAATCATTTTTACTGGCATTCACTTTATATAATTTTTTTTTTTCTTTTTTTAATAAGCACAGCATTCTCTTAAAAAGAAGACTTTGGATAATTTTAAAATGATTTTTAAAGTATTTAAGAAAGACGAAACAAAAATAGAAATTCAAAAAGGCATACATACCATCTCGTTCATGCCCCCCTGTACTGTTAGTTTGTGTTTGCTTCGAATACGTGAGAATCTCTTTTGGTGGAATGTTTGTAGACTGCACATTGTAGACACTTAGATTTAAACTCTTTTTACCAATGCTATAGATGTCAAAGTTCAAAGTTAATATAACATAATTACCATCAATTTGAGATTCAAACCTGGGTCCATTCATATTCGTTTGTAAACTTGCATCTGGGGTTTGCGTATTGGAATTATCTGATGTTAATGAATTAACCGAAGATAAAGATGATAGCACCTCTGATACTGGGGCGACACCCAACGATGATAGCATCTCATCAAGATCTCTGTAAAGTGTTTATACACATATATAAATATATATATATACATTATATATTTTCGAAGTATTTCTTATACTTTCGTTGATCCTTATCGATGCCTAAAGAACCACCTAATCGTCCGGCAGCATCTTCCATATCTTTCAACTCTTTTTCCCGGCGGCGTCTCTCCTTCTCTTCACGTAAAGCCACCAATTTGGCTTTTTTCCTTTCGAGTTCAGCTTTGCGATCCATTATTTATTTATATGTTGTGTTTAACTTACTATATATTTGTGACTTCTCTACTAAGTGCGACTTCTATGGGAGACTTTACAGAAACGTTTGCGATCGCCTTCAATATATGTACCTCATTTACTGTAAATAGTAGAAAAGTAATAAATGCATAATTTTGTCGATTTATTTTAAAATCATAAATGTAACAAAGAATATAATATAAAGACTATCCAATCCACTATTTAAATGTTCCAATATGGATTTGATGATGTCACCATCCGTATCATACCCATTGGAAATTCTTAGTTTTGTCAAATTTTATTTTTCAATTACATTAGGAACACAATCATATGTCAAATAGTCTGCGAGATTTGAATTTTCTTCTTTTTTGCTACTTGTTATGGCGAATAGAAAATAAAGAAAAGAAATTTTCACTTAAAAATCAATAATATGCGACGAGCAGCAAATTTACATTTGACTTGCTGTCTACAAGTCTATGCACGCACGCACGCACGCACACACTCTTAATATGACTTTGGGCCTTGTCTCTCTTAGCAAATGCTTGGTTACACTTGGAATTATTTTAAAATGTTTTTTTTTTTTTTTAAATTTTTCTGCCTTTTCAATAATTCCTATCTAAGCATACAATAATCGCACCTTTCGGAGAGAAATAATTTTAATAATAAACAAAAAATAGGGGAAAAAAAATTTAAATTAATATTTCTAGATCACAACAAAAAATTTTTTTCTTACTCATGAATTTCAACACTTTTTATATTGTCTCCGTGTATGTGTTTTCTCTGTTAATTGTTACCGCATCTCGGTATCGCGGGGAACTGCTTTGTTTGTCTGGGAATAACACAACATGATAGACAATCACTATTTGTGATGTTAAGTTGGCAATCTTCTTTTTTTCTTTACATTTCCGTTTTAGATTATAAAGCTAAAATTCAAAAAATAAAAAAGAAGAAAAAAATAAAGAAAAAACAAGCAAGATAGCATGATACTCATAGTTTACCAAAAGGCAAAGAACTTTTGAAAACGGAATCTAAAACACATTTTTGATGCTTGTTTTTCATGTTAAAATAGCCACCTAGCCACCTTTTGATCGTTTTTATCGACTTGGTCAATTGGTAAACTTAATGGAATTCAAATATTTAATTTAGTTTTAGAAAGGCTTTTATACTCCATAGCACTTCTTGTACAAGGGTATATGTTATATGCAACTCTTAGAAGTATTTGAGATACATGTAAATGTTATTGCATCGACATGAGCCTTTCCGTACTACTATTCAACCTACAAATTGCAAATTTTTGAGATATTTTGGTCAAGTTTGATACACCGATCGGTTTTGATTCAGTGAAAATGGTTCGGATCGGGCCACTTTTTCCAACAACTAGCTGTAGGGTGGTGTAGGGAATTTAATTGTATGCCGACAGAAGGGGAGAATACGGCAATGGTGATCGTAGCCTAGTGAAGGAGGTGACTAATCGATAAGTTTTATGCTTTGCTCAACTCATTATAGCTATGGTCATAGTAAACTCTACCGCATTGACATTTGGACTCGTCCTTCTTACTTATTCGACTAGTCATGCGAATTGTATTTGTAATATAAAAGTTATCAGATTTAATATCTTGGTATATTTCAATTCTATATTAGCAATGTGTGTGTCAGACTCAATAAATGCATGAGGAGGTTATTGATCTTTCACGCGATGGGTTAGTTGGCATACGCCGATCGATTGTCGCTAAAGTACAACAAACCAAAATACTTATAATACTTTTCCTAAAAAAAGCTAGCGCCAGTATTGAGATTGTCAGTTCAAAAAATCAAGGGGGAAACATCTTGGAGAGGGGACACAATCCCCTCAGCATTACATTACATCGAAATTTATTGTGGCTATGTTAAACTAAGATAGCTTCTAGCAAAATATAAAGTGTGCTGAGAAAACAGTACTTCAGCGGAATTCTGCTGAGCATAAGGAAGATTACTGAGTAGGACTTATGATATTGTATTTCCTGAAAGAGTGTGAGTAGAAAAATAAGATATCAAAATCTGCTTCAAAAAGTATTATAGTATACATAACTTTCACGAGAGGTTGTTATAAATTCCAAGTCCTAAGCTATTGTTGATATAAAGAAATAATTATAAATAAGTTTCTTACTAATTTGTTATTGCCATTAAAGTACATTATAGTCCTTTAGTTCTCTAAGAAGCGTTGTGTTTTTCTTTATTAAGTCTTGATATTAATTTCTCACCAGCAAAGCTTGCTGTCTTTTGCGGGCGGTTGGCCTTGCATCGCCTGTGACACGTCATATAAAGTATGAATAAGCTGAACATAAGAGCCTCACGCTCCATAGGTCTTAGTCCATCAAACTATGCAATCCAAAGAAAAACAAATTCATTATTTTTTGAACTCTTCGGTTAAATTTAAAGATAATAATTGTGAATGGATCGACGACCAAACATAATAATATTAAAATTTTGCTCCTTATTTGATAGCAGATATGGTTGGCATGGATATATAATTTTTGTTACTTTATCCGTAAAGTTTTCGGTATTTGTCAGAATATAAAACGAAAAAAAAAAAAAAAAAAAACAAATAAAGAGCAAATAATTATAAAACATTGTATTTATTTAGATAAATCTTTTTTTTTAAACGAAAAAATTAGCGGATATGTCACAAAAGGAGCAAGCTCAAAAAGATGCCTCGCAAAAAGACGCAGGCGATGATGCTGCAGATGATGATATTATAAAGAATCCCAAGGCAAGGTACATGTGTCTTTGCCATAAATGTGTCGTTGAGTCTATTATTCTATCATTTAATATTAGGTTCCAAAAAACATATCAGAAAGTTATAAAATGGAAAGCTCCTGAGAATGAAGATGATCCATTACCGTATTTCGATACCGCGAAAGCGTGGGAAGGACTTCTCGCCTTGCCCAGTTGCCAAGAATTGCAGATTAAGTAAGTGGATAGCATTGACACATATTTTGATTGCCTAAAAAAACAAAAAAAATTGTAGACCTCCTTTTCAAAAGAAAGTAAATTTAGTGGTTGGCCTAAATGTCACGCAAGAATTTCCATGGAAGCAAATACCTTATCGCGTTCTACGCAATAATCTCTTCGATGAATTACCACATGGTCAATTCTATCATACTATGTTTCAAGGTTTCAAGCTTGAAAATCATGTCCTGGTAGGATATGCGCCAATCTTGACACAGAATATGGAAGTTCCTCCTGAAGGCGATCCCTTCATAATGTACGTAAATCCTGAGGATGCAAAAGTTGCATTAAGTATCATCCGAAATATGGAAACGTACGAGCGACTATATTATAACAATAAACTTTTAAAAAAGCCCGGGCGTTGGTTATCGTATGGCAGCGAAAATGAGGTTGCAACCGAAAAACTTTTTCATGAGCCGGTCGATGTTGAAATTCAAAGTGTGTATCCCATGACTATACCGGCACAAAAGAAATTCTCGTTCCGGTTTACTAAAGACGTACGCGACGGTTACGTACAACTGGTACCAGCTGAAGGTGTACGCTTCGATAACGTAGTTCGTAGACGCATCACAGTTGGTATACAATCCTCTATGCCACAATCTACTGTTGAACAACAAACAGACCCCACATTTCCGACTAATGCTTGGGCTCAGTATTTATATGAAGTCAAAGCAGGTTAGCGAATTACGTCATAGTAAAAACTTAAAATTTTCCTAATCATGCATTTATTTTAATATGTAGAGGATGGCTTAGATGAAGAATCTCCAGATGAAGAAGCCGAAAGGAAACCGATAGGCAAAGGTGCAGCAGCAACGCCTAAGGCACCGAAACCTCCTCCAGAAATGTCAGACCAAATTAAATTCCTTTTGGAGCAATTGGAGTTTAATCAAGTTGATATGTATCGGTGAGTTTACCGCAATAGGCTTTTTTTTTTAGATATTTTTCAAAT